TCCAATAAAAATAAATAAATCTTTAAAAAAAAGTTCCACTACCAGGCCAGCTTCCATGGCCCTGCTTGGCATGATCTGTCCTCCATCCTGGCCTTTGCATGTGCCAACAGGTGTTGCAGTCCAACCAAGCCTGGTTTCCTCCCAGACCTTGCTTCCATGAGTGTCAGGGGAGTTCCACAGTCCAGCCTGACTCAGCCCATCACCATCCTCAGTTCTCTGAAGATGCTGCAGTACCATAGAGGTGAGCCCACAAGTCTCTTACAGAATCTGCCCCAAGATCCTCTTCTTTTGTTTCCTGGTGGGTGCTGCAGGTCCAGCCTGAATGTAGCCTATCCTCTACTCTGAGGCTTGTGGATGGGTACTGCAGCCTAGGCCAGTAAGGCATGCCTCCCCAGCCCCAGCTTTTGCATGTATCAGCAGGTGGCCAGCAATGCTGCTTAGCCCAGCCCAGGTCTCTCACGAGGTTAGGTGCCTTGGCCTGACCCAGACAAGACCTCCAGTTTCTCCCCTATAAACCATCCTCGACCATCTCAGCTCCTTCGACTACCTGCAAGTATTATGGCCCAGGACATGGAAACCCCCAGAAGTCATTCCTTCCCTGTCAAACATGTCCTCAGTGGCTCCTATGTGTCCCCAGATCCACTTCCCTAGGCAATCTGTAGCTCCACCTCATCCTCCCCACTTCTGCTATGGGGGCCAGGGTGATATTCTCTACATATCTTTTAAAAAGAAAAATAGAATAGCCAACTATGCTGGTACACTGATATATTAACGCACAGTTTGCATTAACCAGGCCCAGAATGCCCATCAGCTATTGGCTGCTTTTCTCCAGGCAGTGTAACACTTGCCTAGGTACAATACAGGCTAGGCACTTGCCTACAGCTGGGGATGCACATGCTTTTCAAAAGCATAAATGAGATCATACCATGCACACTATTTTGCTTTTGCTCTTGCTCTATGCATTTCTTTTGTTTTTAAGATTTATTTATTTTATTGTTTTTTTTTAAGATTTATTTTTATTATTTTTTTTATTGGAAAGGCGGATGTACAGAGAGGAGAGACAGAGAGGAAGATCTTCCGTCTGATGATTCACTCCCCAAGTGAGCGCAACGGGCCGATACTATGCCGATCCGAAGCCAGGAGCCTCTTCCGGGTCTCCCACGCGGGTGCAGGGTCCCAAAGCTTTGGGCTGTCCTCGACTGCTTTCCCGGGCCACAGGCAGGGAGCTGGAAGGGAAGCGGAGCTGCCGGGATTAGAACCGGCGCCCATATGGGATCCCGGGCGTGCAAGGCGAGGACCTTTAACCACTTGCGCCACCGTGCCGGGCCCTATTTATTTTATTGGAAAGGCAGATATACAGAGAAGAGGACAGAGGAAGATCTTCCATCCGATGATTCACTCCCCAAGCAACCGCAGCAGCTGGTGCTGTGCCGATCCGAAACCAGAAGCCAGGTACTTCCTCCAGGTCTCCCATGTGGGTGCAGGGTCCCAAGGCTTTGGGCCATCTTCCATTGCTTTCCCAGGCCACAAACAGGAAGCTGGATGGGAAATGGGGCTGCCAAGATTAGAACTGGCACCCTTATGGGATCCTGGTGCATTCAAGGCAAGAATTTTAGCCACTAGACCACCGCGCCGGGCCATGCTCTATGCATTTCTTGAGTGAAATTCATCTTGGATATTTTTCCATGTCAGATGATATAAAGATACAAAAAGTGAAAGATGCCATTGCTTTTGCTGGCTACAGGGAAATCAATAGCACGTGTATACCTCAATTTGTTTAAATAGTCTCCTTCTGATTATCATTTAGGCAGCTACAAATGGCCTAAGGGTAAGATGAAGCTGCACATCTTCAGGGTTCCATAGACTTCTACAGGCCTCTCATCATCCGAAGTCAGTGTTCTGTGTTCTGACATCTATTTATTTCACTTCAAAGTCCTGTTAGTGGGTACCCCAAATACAGTCCCGCTCTGGCCAGAAATCAAGAGCAAACTCATGCACTGGGACTAAATCCCAGTTTTCGACCTCCTTCAACTGAACACGCCAAGGAAAGGCTTAGACTGAAGGAAATATCAATCTTCTCCAAACTTCTTTATCTCTACCAACAAGAGTCAAAGGCGAGCCCCAGGCACTCACTCCTCCCTGTAGCTTCAGCACCATCTGCTTTGAGTCTATAAGACACTCTTCTCTTTATTTTTATTTTTTATTTTTAAAAAAGTTTTTTGGAAAGTCAGAATTACAGAGAGAAGGAGAGACAGAAAGTTCCTCCACAACTGGTGGAGGTCCACTCCCCAAGTGGTTGCCAACAGAGCTGGATCCAGAGCCAGGAGCTTCTTCGGGGTCTGCCATGTGGATGCAGGGTCATAAAGCTTTGGGCCATCCTCGACTGCTTTCCCAGATCACAAGTAGAGAACTGGAAGGGAAGTGGAGCAACTGGGATACAAACCAGTGCCCATATGGGATGCCAGTGCATACAAGGTGAGGACTTTAGCCACTAGACTACCACGTTGGGCCCCGATTTTTATTTTTATTTAATTTATTTGAACTTAGGAGCCAATCTCCTGGCTCCTAAGTCCAAAGAGACCTACCCAGCTATGGCCATTGCAGCCATCTGCGGAGATGGGCAGTGGGGAGGAGATTTCTCTTTCTCACTTTGCATTTTGACTAAATGCACAGTAGCCTCGTGGCTAAAGTCCTCGCCTTGAACATGCTGGGATCCCATTTGGACACCAGTTCTAATCCCGCCAGCTCCACTTCCCACCCAGCTCCCTGCTTGTGGCCTGTCGAAAAGCACTCGAGGACGGCCCAAAGCCTTGGCATCCTGCACCTATGTGGGAGACCAGGAAAGAAGTTCATGGTTTCTGGCTCCAGATCGGCACAGCACCGGCCATTGCAGTCACTTGGGGAGTGAATCATTGGATGGAAGATCTTCCTCTCTGTTTCTCCTCCTCTCTGTATATCCGACTTTGTGATAAAAATAAATAAATCTAAAAAAAAAAAAAGAAGAAGAAAGAAGCTGAGATGGAAAATGGGGAAATGGAATGAGACTTTAGATACTGTTTGAATTTCTGAACTCGGCTGCGTCTGTGATCCAACCTGCTCACAAAGTCTAATCAACTCCATTTTCATCTTAAGCTTCTTATTAAAGTTGAGGTTGTCACATGTAATAAACAGTCCTAGCTAATCAAGTTGGATATACACGTACAGAACCCTAGGGCATATTTTTGTTTCATTTCTCAATACCTACTATACAAATCTCCAAACATGCGGATAAGTTTTTAAAAATTTAAAGCTAACATTAAAACAGCTACTACCTAGATTTTACAATTAACATTCTATTATTGGTCCCAGTGTGGTGGATCAACTGGCTAATCCTCCACCTCCAAGTGCTAGGTTCCCATACGGCACCAGTTTGTGTGCCAGCTGTTCCTTTTGTATCCAGCTCCCTGCAGTGGAGGACAGCCCAAAGCCTTGGGACCCTGCACCCATGTGGGAGACCTGGAAGAAGCTGCTGGCTCCTTCCCAGGCCACAAGCAGGGAGCTGGATGGGAAGTGGAGCTGCCGGGACTAGAACTGGCAGGCATATGAGATTCTGCTACGTGCTCAAGACAAGGACTTTAGTTGCTAGGCTACCGCACTGGGCCTAGATTTATTTTTATTGCAGAGTCAGATATACAGAGAAGAGGATAGACAGAGAGGAGGATTTTCTGTCTGATGATTTACTCCCCAAGTGAGCGCAACAGCCGGTGCTGAGCCGATTTGATCCGAAGCCAGGATCCAGGAACTTTCTCCAGGTATTCCATGCTGGTGCAGGGTCCCAAGGCTTTGGGTCATCCTCAACTGCCTTCCCAGGTCACAAGCAGGGAGCTGGATGGGAAGTGGGGCTGCCAGGATTAGAACTGGCGCTCATATGGGATCCTGGCATGTCAAGACAAGGACTTTAGCTACTAGCCCACTGCACCAGGCCCAAATCTGACATTTTAAAAAAGATTTTAAAAATTTTTATTGGAAAGTCAGATATACAGAGAGGAGGAGAGACAGAGAGGAAGATCTTCCATCTGATGATTCATTCCCCAAGTGTCCGTAATAGCTGCTGCTGTGCTGATCCGAAACCTGGGTCCAGGAGCCTCTTCTGGGTCTCCCACATAGGTGCAGGATGCCAAGGCTTTGGGCCGTCCTCCACTGCCTTCCCAGGCCACAAACTGGGAGCTGGATGGGAAGCAGGGCTCCCTGGATTAGAACTGGCACCCATATGGGATCCTGGTGCATTCAAGGAGAAGACTTCAGCCGCTTGGCTACTGCACAGGGCCCTATAAATCTGACTTTTAAAGAAATTGAAATATATGTACACACATATTTAATAACTATGGAAAAATTTATAGCTTCACCAAAATCCTGCTCTTAATAGACCAAGGGCCAAGAAAGATGCAATCTAGCTGTACAGAAAATATCACCTAGGTGATCTACTCTATGCTACTACATAGGGTTGGGGCACGCCTATGCAGCACTGCTCGAGTTGGGGAGCCTAGGTTTTCACCTTTGGGAGGCCACAATAAGACTCCTTGCTATTGCTAATCCTCTGTCTCCCTCGGTCCTCTACCCTCTTCACGGCCCCCATCTCCCACTGTCTTCCCCATCTCCCACAGCTGAGGAACCATCCATCCGTCTAATCTCTCTGGACCGTTTTCAGAGTGACCTAGTAGAGAATCGAGGTTTTCACAGCGATTTAGTTTGCTGGGAGACTACCTTTACAGCTGGTGGTTTAGGAGTGTGTCAGTCTCACAGAGAAAAACCTTGGCTCTTCTGTCACTGTACTCTCTAGGTGATACTATAAAACAGAGTAACACACACTTTGGGAGATGTGTCGCTATTACATCTTCTTTCATTATTGCTTTTTCCGGTTTTTTGTCCCAACCAAGCCACCGTTATTGAAACGAGCTGTTGCTTGTAGCAATTGGTCGGAGCTGCTGTCAATCATTTTGAAAGCCAATCAACATACCGGAAGTCCAGCCTCCTAGCCTATAAAAGGGCTGCAAGAACAGCGTTTTCTGCAGGAATCTCTGGCCCTCCAGGGTGTGAGAGGTTGGGCTTTCAATGAAACCAACTGATCAACCTAAAAAAAAAGACGAGCCCCTCAAATCACTGATCCTGCCGTGACAACGTAAGCTAAACTTCCCTGTTTAGACTCAAGTATCGGGAAGCTGTCTCTTAGGAATGTAGCAAAAGCAGGTGTCGTTTAGAGCTACGTCACAATGCAAGGACACATTGTAAGATACTTTTTGGTCCTTCTCACTGTTGTATTAAGGTTCATTGTTCCCAGACGCGAGGAAGGAACATGTTAACAGTTTCAGCCTCTATTCCCCTAAACGATGTGGGGGAACTGGGGGGAGGGGGGAGCACGTGAAAATCATACTTAACTGAAAAAAAAAAAATGCCCAGGGACTGTGGCGACCACAGACGGGACCCAGGCGGTAGTGTGGTGGCTATTCCGCGAAAACCAGAGCAGAGTAGAATCAGTGGCTTAGATTAGATGCCATGTGAGGGCATGCACTGGAGAACCCGCCGACATAGCTGGAGGACACAATTAAGGCTAGGCTTTTTTGGCATTTAAATCAGTGGCAGCCAAGCTTTTGTAACAGAAGGGTTTGTAAGATGCTAGTTTAGAATATTAGTCTGAGCAAATGTTTTTATCATCTAAATTATCTTTACATTAAAAAAATAAATATAACAGCAACATAGGTATAACAGAGAAAGTTGTGATCAAAATTTCCAGGATTTTCTTGGTGGCATATAAAAGAGAATAAAACTGGTTGAGAAACCAGATTAGCTAAATCTATAACATGATATAGATAAAGAAGAGAGTTATTGTAAAGGGAAATTGTGTCTCTTCCCAGCTCCCAAAGAGGATGTCACACATACCTGAACCAGAGGAAAGGAGTGATGATGAGATCACAGAAGATGAAGACGGTGAGTAAACGGAACAAGGGGAAGCTAAGGAACCGTCAACCCCTACGGATTACTCGTAAACTCAGCACTGCAGCAGAGGGTTAAGCTACCATGTCTAACGCTGGCATCCCATATCAGATCATTGCTTTCAAGTCCTGGCTGCTCTGCTTCCAAACCAATTTGCTGCTAATGTGTATGGAAAGGCAGAGGGAAATGGCTCGAGTGCTTGAAACCCTGCCACCGCATGGGACACCGTCCTGGAGCTCCTGGCTCCTGGCTTGCCCCTGGCCTAGCCACAGCTATTGCAGCCTTTCGGGGAGTGAAGCAGCAAATGCGAGACCATTCTCTCTCTCTCTCTCTCTGCCTTTCAAGTAAATAAATATATTTTTTTTAAAAATGCAAAAAGCATCTAAAAATAATAATGAATTGATTAATAAAGAAGTAATAGCAAGGTAGAAATACATTTCTAGAGAGAACTGGCATCACGAGGTAGTGGTTGTAGCACACTTTTTTTTAAAGGCGTGCAGTAAAGGAGTGGGTGTATGTCAACAGAAAGTGTCAGCTGGCGCGAGCACGTGACGTGACCCCGAGGCAGCCCTGCAGACACGCCCCGGCCAGAAACCCAGCTGTGCGAGCCCGTACAGGCACGCTTCTGTGCTTTGTGTTCTCTGAATGAAGAATGGAATCATGTAAGATCTAAGCAAAAACTTTCATAAAGTTTATGGTTTCTAAGGGTGTGGGAGAATCAGCTCCGTTAAAAGGCAAATAATATGTACATTTCTGAAAGTTAAAATGGCACTTGATCAAAATTTAAATACCCCTGCCCCTTGACTCAATTTCACTTCTTTTAATATATCCTCAGAAATACTTTTATATGCACACAAAGATCTGTTATGATATATTCATTGCAGCATATCTGCAGTCACAAACAGCAGGTTGCCAAATGTCCAAAGATATGTGAACAAACAGCAGCTTTAATATGAAACAGACTGCAGCCATGAAAATATCTCTAATATATATTAAGTAAAAAGGCAAAATGTGCAAGCATATTTCCAATAATTACACTATTTTTGTTTAAAAAAAACCCATTGCTTTCTATTTGTATGTATATAAGTATATATGTATATAAATGCAAAATGCGATACACCACGCTGCACTTACTTTTTATCTTACACTTTCTGCACTCTTTGTTTCTTGGCAAAAGAAATGTGTGCATATAACATGTATGAATAAACCAAACTGAAAGATCCAAAAGCACAGAAATGGCGTGTCATATTTCCAAAATACTAATAATTGGAAGAGGAACAGAAGAAATTCAATAAGTCTGGCAAAAGTAAGGAAAAGAAACAACAATGTAATAATGATATTTTTTACAGTGTTAGAAATATGTATTTCCATGTACAGTAAAGTGTACTGCCATTAAAACTAGTGAGATCGATCTATGTATACTGACAAGGAAAAGTTGTTCACAGTATAAAATTAAGCAGAAAGTACACTTCCAGCTCAATGTGTAGCATATGATCCATTTTTTACAGGTATAACTCTGTATGTTAGCAAATGTATAAAGAAACCTCCTTGAAGCCCACTATGATGGCTCAATTGGCTAATCCTCTCACTGCGAGTGTTGGCATTCCATATGGGTGCTAGTTCTAATCCCAGCAGCTCCGCTTCACATCCAGCTCCCTGCCTGTGGCCTGGAAAGCAGATGAGGACCGCCCAAAGCCTTGGGACCCTGTACTCACGTGGGAAACCCAGAAGGGGTTTGTGGCTCCTGGCTTCAGACTGGCTCAGCTCCAATCATTGTGGCCATTTGGGGAGTAAACCAGTAGATGGAAGACCTTTCTGTCTCTTCTTCTCTCTGTAAACCTGCCTTTCTTTTTCAAAAAATATTTATTTTTTATTGGAAAGTCAGATATACAGAGAGAACAAAACACAGAAAGAAAGCTCTTTTGTCATTGGTTCACCTCCCCCCCATGCCTACAATGGCTGGAGCTGAGCCAATGCAAAGCCAGGAGCCAGGAGCTTCTTCCAGGTGCAGGGTCCACATGGAGCCAGGAGCTTCCCATGTGGGTGCAGGGTCCCAAGGCCTTGGGCCGTCCTCGACTGCTTTCCCAGGCCACAGGCAGGGAGCTGGATGGGAAGTGGAGCAGCTGGGATTAGAACCGGCGCCCATATGGGATCCCGGGGCGTTCAAGGCGAAGACTTTAGCTGCTATGCTACTGCACCAGGCTGTAAACCTGCCTTTCTAATAAACAAAAATAAATTTTCTTCAAAAACCAAAAAGCTCATTGATCAGCAGTTTCTGGGGTTACTTTTGGTAAGTTAGCTTAGATGGACAGCAGGGATTAAAAGAAAATATCACCCTATTTTTGCAAATTGTTAAGTCCTGAACATTACTAAATGTGGTCTGATTATGTTCCTCCCTTCTCTGTGTGAAGTGCTTCCGCGATTATGCCATGAGCAGTTATTCTTTTTTCATGGTATATATTTTCAGAAACTTTTTTTTTTTAAAGGAAGTTTCTTTTTTTTTTTTTTATTGGAAAGGCGGATATACAGACAGGAGAGACAGAGAGGAAGATCTTCCGTCCAATGATTCACTCCCCAAGTGAGCGCAACGGGCCGATACTATGCCAATCCGAAGCCAGGAGCCTCTTCCGGGTCTCCCACACAGGTGCAGGGTCCCAAAGCTTTGGGCCGTCCTCGACTGCTTTCCCGGACCACAGGCAGGGAGCTGGAAGGGAAGCGGGGCTGCCGGGATTAGAACCGGTGCCCATATGGGATCCCGGGCGTGCAAGGTGAGGACTTTAACCACTGAGCCATCGCGCCGGGCCCTATTTTCAGAAACTTTTTGAAGACTTCAGACATACATATTTTTGTATCAAAGTCGACTTCTTTTAATTCCATTTTCCAAGGAATTATTGGAATCCCTGTATATTTAGATTACCAATTCTAGTTGTCATTTGCCATTTCTGTCAGCAATTTTTCCAAACTGACAAGTTCTAAGCTTAAACAGATTACCAATAGCTGTCTCTGAACTCTTTTGGACTCTTTTATAGGCCCAAAATCTTATTTTATTTTTATTGGAAAGTCAGATATAAAGAGGATAGACTTTTTATCACGTAATTTAAGTAAAATATGTGTGTAATTCGTGGAGCATAATAAATATCCATAAACCCTTAATTTGGCTTACTCCCTTAAGTCCCAGGTTTACTTTTTGAAAAAGATTTATTTACTTTTTATTTATTTGAAAGGCACAGTTACAGAGAGAGGAGAGACAGAGAGAAAAAGATCGGTCAGTTGGTGAGCTCCCTAAATGGCTGCAAACCACCAAGACTAGTCTAGGCTGAAGGGAGAAGCTAGGTCTCCCATGGGCGTGAAGGGACCCACCTGGCACTCGGGCCTTCTTTCTCTGCTCTTCCAGGCACTTCAGCAGGGAGCTGGATCAGAAGCTGAGCAGCCTGGACTCTGATTGGCCCCTGAATGGGATGCCAGTGTCACAGGTAGAGGCAAAACATGAAATACCACACACTGGCATCAAGTCCCAAGGTTTCAATTCTGCAAATATTTGAATGGCATTGGGATCAGGATTTGGTACCTGGTGCTGAAAGAAAACTCCTGACTGTATCTTTGCCTTGGGACTTTTACCAGAGTCGGTGGATACTGAATGGGACAGGGAAAAATATATGTATATTTGAATGGTATGCTATTTGTTTCAAGATTATCATAAGTGTATGTTTATTGCTCACTCAAAGTCTTAAAGTTTTTTACAGTTTACTAATTCCAGTGAAAAATTTATAATTAAAAAAAATTTTTAATACTCACTTTTGGGGTCTGGCCTAGTGTTTAAATACTTGCCTGATATCTCATTCACTGTAAATCTGCCTTTCTAATAAAAATAAATATAAAGCTTACAAAGATTTTTTTTTTGTATTGGAAAGGCAGATCAGATTTACAGAGAGGAGACACAGAAAGATCTTGTCTCGTGGCTCAGTCTCTAAGTGGCTGCAATGGCTGGAGCTGAGCCGATCCGAAGCCAGGAGCCAGGAGACTCTTCTGGGTACCCACACAGGTGCAGGGTCCCAAGGCTTTGGGCCATCCTCTCTTGCTTTCTCAGGCTACAAGCAGGGAGCTGGATGGGAAGTGGAGCTTCTGGGACATGAACTGGTGCCCATATGGGATCTTGGCAGATGGTGAGTAAGGATTTAGCGACTGAGCCATCATGCTGAACCCCATTTTTTTTTTTTTTTTTTACAATTTACTCTGTAAGGTGCCCAGTGGCATGGCCTAGCAGCTAAAGTCCTCACCTTGAACGCGCCGGGATCCCATATGGGCGCTGGTTCTAATCCCGGCAGTCCCACTTCCCTTCCAGCTCCCTGCTTGTGGCATGGGAAAGCAATCCAGGATGGCCCAAAGCCTTGGGACCCTGCACCTGTGTTGGATACCCAGAGGAAGTTCCTGGATCTTGGCTTTGGATCAGCATAGCATCAGCCGTTGGGCTCACTTGGGGAGTGAATCATCGGAGGGAAGATCTTCCTCTCTGTCTCTCCTCCTCTGTATATCCGCCTTTCCAATAAATAAATAAATCTTTAAAAACAAACAAACAAATAAACAAACAAAAACAATTTACACTGTAAGTCTTTATAGGTGCCCTCTACATAGGGCAAGATAATGGGTTAAGAACTAGAACATTCCCAGTACTTTAGAATCTACCTAAGTACCACTTCCCCTTTCTGTATTTTCTCTCGAGTGATCCCTTATCCAGATCATGCGGTTATTGTTTCCCTTCTATACTTATGTGATTTTACCATATTATATATTATATATAGCTTTTTCAATTTTGAGCTTAGTAGAAAATGCTACATAACAAAATCCTATGCTTTATTAGTGATTTGCTGTTTTCATGTAACATTGAAACTGAGAATTACTTCGCTGCAGTTCATCTGTTTCAATGCTATATGCTGTTGTCTTGTGAATGTCACAATTTATCTGGCCAGCCAACTACCAAAAATTCTCTTGCCATTCTCAATTTTGTATCAAATGTTACACAGATTTAGAAAATTCTTAGCATATTTGAAACACTCTGTCTTTGGGGCCACAACTAAGTATTCTGTAAGTCTGTTTCTATCATTTAGTATTCAAGTGATGAATGGATTAGCAATGTTTTTAAAGCACTGGATCGTAAATAGGCTCTGTGAGCCTCATACTCTGTCACAACTTAGTATAGCACAAAATCAGCTACATACTATATACTCATGAATAAATAGGAGTAAGTGCAACAATGTTGCAATAAAACTTTATTTACAAAAAACAAGTAAATGGGACCCAGTGTAGTAGCATAGTGGCTAAAGTCCTCATCTTGCACACCCTGGGATCACATATGAGCACCTGTTTGTGCCTCAGCTGCTCCACTTCCCATCCAGCTCCCTGCCTGTGGCCTGGGAAAGCAGTCGAGGACGGCCCAAAGCCTTGGGACCCTGCACCTGCATGGGAAATCCAGAAGACACTCCTTGCTTCGGATTGGCTCAACTCTGGCCATTGCGGCACTTGGGGAGTGAACCATCAGACAGAAGATCTTCCTCTCTGTCTCTCCTCTTTTCACTAAATTTGCTTTCCCAATAAAAATAAATAAATCTTCAAAAAGAACTGAGATTAGGATGCTGCCTTGATTTCCCAACTTAGCTGTCCAGAGTTTAAGGTCAGGACTGAAGCTATGCCCTAGACTCCTTGAAATTTCCCGACTCTGCTGTACTATCTTTCTTCTTCATTATTCACCTGTGCTCCTTATGGTGGGTCCTTCCTTGTGCTCGCTACTCACTTCCACTTTGGCTGGCTGTCATCCTCAGGGATTTCTTTCTTTTTTTTTTTTTTTTTAAAGATTTATTTCTTTTTATTGTGAAGTCAGATATACAGAGAGAAGGAGAGACAGAGAGGAAGATCTTCCGTCCGATGATTCACTCCCCAAATGACCGCAATGGCCGATGCTGCACCTATCCAAAGCCAGGATCCAGGAACTTCTTCCAGGTCTCCCACGTGGGTGCAGGGTCCCAAGGCTTTGGGCCGTCCTTGGCTGCTTTCCCAGGCCACAAGCAGGGAACTGGAAGGGAAGTGGGACTGCCAGGATTAGAACTGGCGGCCATATGGGATCCTGGTGTGTACAAGGTGAGGACTTTAGCTGCTAGGCCACGCAGCTGGGCCCACCCTTAGGGATTTCAATTGAATTTGTTTTTCTGGAAACTATTCTTCAGCTCCCTCAGCCACCAAACAACATTCACACACTCTACTCTTTTCATTCTCTTAGGCTGGGCCATGTCTCTCCTGTATTCCCATAGCAGCTGGTATTACTCTATGCTGTAATCATTTGCCTCATGTACTATGCCAATTATTCTCTGAACCCACTGAACAGATCATAGCAGGTTCTCGGGCAAGGTTTGTTCACTGTCTGCCTGGATTGGGCCAGGAGAAGGAGCTGGTTTCTACATTCCATGAAGATCAACCACTGAGGGTCCGGTAAGAGAATGGACTGATTGTCTAGATTGTCCAGAACTAGATTGCTGTTATCTCCAGAAATGAGCTTTACTTGTTTGTCCTGTCTGCTTGGCGATGGCTTGACTGTATTCAAACTTGAAAATCCCCCTGGGCACTGTAATGTGACTCATCTCCCCCTCCCCAAAAGTGTTGTTTTGTTATTCCTTTTTTTTTTTTAATCTAATGAGTTGGTCTCTGAGTGTCTTTGTCTTACATGAAAATTCCATGACTAGAGACTAGTTATGAACTAGTCTATTTAAAAAGTCTTAATTTAAAAGAACTAGGTTTAAATCTTAATGCTTTGTGGGCCTGGCATGATGCCTCAATTGGCCAATCCTCTCCCCTAAAGCAGCAGGATCCCATATTGGCACCGGTTTGTATCCTGGCTGTTCCATTTCCAATCCGGCTTCCTGCTTGTGGCCTGGGAAAGCAGAGGATTGCCCAAAGACTTGGGACCCTGCACACACATGGGACATCAGGAAGAAGCTCCTGGTTCCTGGTTTTGTTTCAGCTCAGCTCTGGCTGTTGGGGCCACTTGAGCAGTGAACCTGTGGATGGAAGATCTTTGTCTCTCCTCTGTGAATCTGCCTTTCCAATGAAAATAACTAAATCTTAAGTCCTTATGCTTTATGACTTTGGCGGGTAATTTTAACCTCCTTTTTTGAACCTGTTTCCCATTTCTAAATTGGGGATGGTAAGCAACTTCTCAGTGTGGTTATGAGGATAAAATGATTGTATGTGAAAGCATTTTGCAAAACTGAAAAATCAAACAGAAATGGAAGGTTGTATTAGTTCTATATTCCTTCACAGCATCTAGCACTTGGTCTGTCCAAGAGTAGCTGCTCAATACATTTTTGTTGAATGAATAACTGAATGCTGTTTGTGGGAATACTGGCCACTTAAACTCAGGATAAGCAGGTGACTTGGTAATAGAAACTTCATTAGAGTAATTATTATTTAAAAATTGGGCATTTATAGATCGCTCCAAACCTACATTCCTAATATCTGCTGTTTGCTTTGCTTACGGTAAAAATGTTATTTTCACGTGAATTTGGCCACAGAGATAAGCTGTCAAAACTTGACTGTACACGTTATCACTTCTCAGCCCTTTGATTAAGATCAAGTAAATGTATGCATGCTGTCATTACAAAGGAAGATTGACCCCGGGCAGTAAAGTGACCTCTCAGAAATCTTTCCTTGTTGGTGAACTTACCTCTCCCCACCCTGCAGTGCAGTGTTTTTTCAGAGTCCTGTTTACCTCCAGGCACTTAAGTTTTTTTAACCTTTTTATCCCAAGAGACATTCAATTTAAAAGTTAGAAACTGGGACCATTGCTGTGGCTTAGCAAGTTAAGCTGCCATGCAATGCCAAACTGGCATCCGATATGGATGCTGGTTCAATTTTCAGCTGCTCTGCTTCCAATCTGGCTCTCTGCTGTTATGCCAGGAAAAAGCAAAGGAAGACAGCTCAAGTCTTTGGGCTCTTGTATCCATGTGCGAAATTCATAAGATCCAGACTTTGATTTGGCCTTTATGTCCATCTGGTGAGTGAACCAGTGGATGGAAATCTCTTGTCTCTCATCTCTCTGTTCCCCCTATTTCCTTTCCTGTCAAATAAAATAATCAAATCTTTTAAAAACAGTTCACAATTAAGTCTTTATGGCTAAGTTGTATTTGAAAAAGAGACCAGGGGCCTGGTGCAATAACCTACTGGCTAAATCCTCGCTTTGCAATCCTAACAACCTCTTAACAGGAGGTCATATGCACAGAGCAGGAGAGGACACCAGAGTGGAGCAGGCAGACAGGAGGAGGCTTATATCCCAACCCTGAAGACTCTCAGATGCTCACCAAGGACTATCAGTACGAGCTCCAAGGACTACATCCCAACTGCCAAGGAGACCACGGGGAATTGGAGTGCCTTAGGAGGCCAAGAACTCCGAGGTCACCCACCCCCATTTGGATCTACCACATGGGATGGAAGAAGCCCAATTCCTGCTTTGCAGGATCCAAGGTCATTGGAACGACAACCAGGAGCACTGAGCAGTCCACAGAAACAGAAGAATAGTAAACTTCCTTCGGGACTAGGGAGAGGAGCTTTCTCTGGTTCTTGTCTGGTTCTGACTTTGGGTCCCCAACCTCCTCTGGCAATGACCATCAGGATTGCTCCGGAAACCCCTCAAAACAAACAAACACACAAACAAACAACAACAACAACAAAACTAGAATAGAAAGAGAACAGCAAGGAAAGCTTAGAAACAGACAGGAAACGGTCAGTGGGGATGCACTTATAATTCACTGGGTGGGACACAAAGATTAGTTACTCCTCACTGGGGTATTGAAGATTTCTCTGCACACCCCTCCTAAAACTGTTCACCTAAACTGTTGACATACGTCTTGTTAGAGTTATAGAGTTGGACTACCCAAAAAACAGCCAGGTTCTGCAAAATCATGCTTCAACACTATAAACTGCTAAATATTAAAATTAAAATAGACATGAGACAGCTGAATAGTAAACTATAGCCATTTTAAGGTGTATAGAAACCAGTTGTATATAAACTAATAATTGAAATGTCAATGTAGAAGTCATAGGATGTGGTTCAGAACTTGCATTCTTTTTTTTTTCTCTTTTAACATATTTGTTACTCAATACTATGTCAACTAATTCCATAACGCTATAAATTGTTACTGATGTTATGTCAGGGCTTTTAATTGATTGGCATGATACTCTGCTGGCTCTACCTTCAGACCAGAGATGGTCTCCCCAAGAAACCGTTGAACTTATCTGGACAATAAGATGCTGGACTTTATGCTTGGTAGATGCTTGCAATGAAAGAATCTCAACTGAATTTGAACTGTGGTAATGCAACAAGGTGGAGGAATCCACCAATGGGTGGGGGATTGGGGAGGGGAGTGGGGGAATCCCAGTGCCTATAAAACTGTGTCACATAATGCAATGTAATCAATTAAAACAAAATTGTAAAACAAAACAAAACAAAAATCCTCATTTTGCACAAGCCAGAATCCCATATGGGTACCAGTCTATGTCCCAGATGCTCCCTTCCCATCCAGTTCCCTCCATGTGGCCTGGGAAAGCTCTAGAAGGGACACAAGTCCTTGGGACCCTGCACCCACATGAGAGTGAAGCAGTGGTTGGACGATCTCTCTGTCTCTCCTTCTCTCTGAATCTTTGCCTTTCAAATAGAAATAAAATACTTTTTTTTTTTTTTAAAAAAGAGGGATTTCTAGAGAAGGCTAAGTCTTACCTAAACGAGTGCAAAGCTTGTGAGCCCCGTTCAAATCACAAGGCACACTTAATTTACCACAGCTATGGTCTCCCAACCTTGGAAGCATTAGAGTCACCCAAAGAGCTTTTGAAAAGCACTTATAACTGGGTCTGGTGCAATGGCTCAGTGGCCAAATACTTACCTTGCATAGACCGGGATCCCATATGGGTATCGGTTCATGTCCCTGGCTGCTCCACTTCCCTTCCAGCTCCCTGCTTGTGGCCTGGGAAAGCAGTCCAGGACGGCCCAAAGCCTTGGGACCCTGCTTCCATGTGGGAGACCTGGAAGAAGCTCCAGAGTCCCGGCTTCAGTTAGGGTTTGTTCTGGCTGTTGTAGCCACTTGGGGAGTGAACCAATGGATGAAAGATCTGTTTTTCCTTCATTGTAAATTTGCCTTTCCAATTAAAAAAAATGCTGATAATTGGGGACTAATGTGATGGTTCAATTGGATAATCCTCTGCCTGAAGTGCCGGGATCCAATATGGGCAGTGGTTCTACTCCCAGCTGCTCCACTTACAATCCAGCTCCCTGCTTGTGGCCTGGGAAAGCAGCAGGGGATGACCTAAAGCTTTGGGACCCTGCACTCACGTAGGAGACCTGAAAAGGGCTCCTGGCTTCAGATCAGCTCAGCTCTGACCATTTTGGCCATCTGGAAAATGAATCAACAGATGGAAGATTTCTAATTTTTCTCTCCTCTCTGTAAATCTGCCTTTCCAAATAAAAGATACTGATAATTGAGGCCCTCCTTGTAGAGATTCTGACTGAAATGGACTAAGTTTGGATCTAAACAAAGATGCTTAAAAAAACTCCCTAGGTACCTGAGGCTGGGGTCCTGAGAGGTGGATCTCCACTGATGGCCTTGGCATCGTCCTGAAACCCAGGCTTCACATCATGTCAACCCAGGTAGCGACAGGATTTCAGGGACCAGAGATCAGGCGTGTGTGCCTTGACATCGGAGCACACAATGCTTGTTGTGCCGCCTCGCACTTCTGACTGCAGCGCAGGAAGGAGGATCGTGCCTAGGTGTGCACCAATGATGAGTCAGCCTGCTCCTGGGAACCATTGGAGGATCTGGGATGCCTCTCCAAAAGACAAAAAGAGGCAGTGACATCTCAGGGTGGTGACGATGATGTGGGGGACACAGCCAGTGGCACCAGCTACATTTTATACGACTTGTGAAATGGATCCAGTAGATGAGATAGAGAGCTTTCCCAATGCGGGTCATGCAAGGCCATCACCCTTGTCAGCAGGAAGCAGCAACAGAACAGGAAACTACATCCTTTAGTAATGCTTAAACATGGGGGTCAGAAGTCTCAGGAGGGAACGAAATGGGACAGCCAGATAGCACCCTTAGACTTAGAAACTGGAAGCTATACATCTCTCTACGTAATACAGTCTACTTACTTGTCAATCAAATGGACCCCTTCCATAGGATGTACTACTGCCCCTTACCTGGGCCTGGAGGGTAGTGATACATAACCACCGTCCTTCCCAGGCTCAGGAGAAGCTAGGGAATGGGAAGGGGCACCCTCTCCCACCTTCTCTCCAGAGACAAAATGGAAGTAGAAACATCTGTGTCTTGCCTTGCCCTGTGTCTGCCTACTCTATCCCTGAATTGTATCTGCCATTTTTATCACTTCTAGATAAATTTTAAAAAACCCCTCCATAGGCAAT